ATTGTCTACTACATACATCTTTTTGATAATTGTATTCATTCTTTGATTTATAAATTTGACGCTTTGAATAAAATCATATCCGATTTATTCTTAAAATATGGAAAATAATGTCTTTAAAATGAAGATACGAATTGAAACATTAATAAATCCAAAAAATATTTACGAATTACACGAACAAATTTTACAGTCTTAGCAACTAGTGCAGATTGACGTTCATTTTTTTCGTTCTCACTAGTAAGTTCGTTAAAATATCCAGCTATAATATAAGATCTTTCACCAGTTAATAATTCGGATAATCATATCATTTGTAATTGATTAAACCATATAGAAATATCACGAATTTCATTAAAAAGTTTATTTACCAAACGAGGAGCTTCATTGACAAATTTTGGTGATTAAAATAGCTTGTGTAAATTGTGTAAAAAAAAAAGATGTCGATTATATCTTCAAGATTTAATAATATTCCCCTAATTCATGAAATCCTCTACAATTTTTATCAGAAAATTTCCTAAATATATAGATTTTTTGATGAGGCTAATAAAAGTTTTTCAATATATTCTATTCGATTTAGAGCTATAAAGTGTGTATCTAAATAGAACTCAAATAAATCATCATATTTTTTATGATTAGATTCGAAAAATTTTATGAGATTTTCACCATGCAATATTTATATAGTTGAGGTAAATTTCCAGAATGGGAATGGAAAAGAATCAGGTAAAGGATTGATACGATTAAAATATTTATAATAATAATGTATCACATAAATTATCAATACGATACCTATCAATGAAAGGTGATGAACAATTCCGAGATCATATTATAATATAATTAAATGAATTTTCTTGCTGATAATAAATAAAAAAAAAAAATATTTAAAAAATTAATTCATTTTCTTGATATAACCAAGACTTGATAAAGTGATATATTTATATCAAATTCTTTTTTTATCATATGGTAACCAAAAAAAATTTTTTCCGTTTTGGATAAATTTGTTCTTGAAATTTAACCGAGTTTTTGCTTAATTAGGTTTTAACGATTAATTTAGCCAGATTGCTAACTTACAATAGACTAGTAATGAAATCGAAAACAAAGAAAAGGACAAAATCCTATCACTAACATGCCGTTGAAAATATGTTATAGTGAACAACAATTTAATATATGTGAGTTGAGTATTAACGTAATAATGTAATTAAAATATGTCGATAAAGAAAATTTCTCTTATGTATTAAAAGATGAATTTAACAATAATAGTAACAGCTGTAGTAGTAGTAATAGTAAAAATTATTATTAAAAAAAAAAAATTAAAAGAATGCAAAAGGAAAAAAAATCGTTGATTATAGAAAATTCATTCGGATAATTAAACTCTTTAAAAGGAATAACAAATAACGATTAATAGTTAAACTATTTTTAAATTAATGTATTCATATGTATTAAATAGACGTGAAATATCAAAATGCGAAATAAATTGATGCACTTAGTATGTTTGTGTTAAGAAAACAAAACAGTCGAAGAATAAAATTTAATTTAGCCAAAGGTTTTCAAGAAACGTGATTCTGTTCGACATTACGAGTTGCCAATTAAATTGCATTGTCGATATTGCGATCCTTTTTTTTTTTAACTAACAATCATATAATTTTCATTTGATGAATCTTGTGTTAAACCATAAGATTGGATATCATTGCATCTACTGCTTATATTTAAGTGTATTTTACCCACAATAAATTGTATTTAAAAGATTAATAATGTTATTGGCTAACTGAAACATTTTAAATTACAAACTTCTTCAAACCAATTTTGACTTGCACTTTCAACATTTTCTAACCTTATATGTATTACTTTCTGATCAAGTTTTTAAAATTTTTGCTTTTAGAATCCCATTCAATAAAATTTTCTTAATCCAAACTACACTGCTGTATAAATTCTACCTTTTGTTAAATATTTAATATTTTTGTAAATTATTAAATGGAATTCATTCTACAATTTTATAATGATATTTTTTTATTAACAATCTATATTAAATTATCAATATTATTATTTCCAGATGACAAATTTGAAAATTTTGCTTTTAAATAATTTCAAACACAACGTTCACAATATTTGTCTTAGTCACAATTTTCATAAATTCTTTATTATTATTAAACAATCTTTGCTTAATCATAAGATTTAGTTATTATTTCAGATTTTTCATTTTCTGTAAAAAGAATCGTCATCAAGAATCAATTGTTTTCTAAATTCATATAATATTGTTTGTATATATCATTGTGAATTTTATGATTAATACATAAGATTTATTAATTATAGTACAAACTTTTACATATAATGAAAGTGAAAATATATTATAAAACTTTAAAAGTTTATTTATAAAATTTGAAAAAGAAAAAGAAATAGCTGAGCCAGTATCTTTAACATCGAAATCTACATAAAAATAAATCGGTGTAACTGTCACTTTTAGATTGTCCCATGATTCCTATGACATAAAATTAATTGTACGATACGCCTGTATCAAAATATTGGACTTGTTATACGTACTCTAACAGGATCAACGGGCTACCACTACTAATTCTATTTATCTAAATTAATTATGTGAAAAACAAAGTACTGCCTAAAAATTTAATATATAAGGATTATAGAAATAAATATACAGTAGATGTATAGTATTTGTTTAGTATTTGGTTACAGGTACGAGATTGTCACATACAATTCGTACCAACGTACCAACGTAATAATGATCCAAATAGTAACATTGCTATGGTGACGCCATTGAACATTTCAATAATACGATATGAATTGTATATATATGACAATCAACCACTTATAACATTTACCATATAATCTGTTGATTTTTTAAATTTTTACTATTTGTAATTACTTTATATTATATAATCTAATAATTTATAAATATGTTCCCAAAAATAGTCTTCCTGCCGAGTTTTGACAATTTTTACTGAGGCAATAGCTTAAATGACGCAATATCATCTGATATACTTACTGTATTACTATTTTAGCGAATTATAAAATTATGAAATAATATCTTCCACAAATGATATTTAACTAACCTCATTCCATTTAGTGGTACCTTTATGATTTAATTGTATTATTTCAAAAATTAATTAAAATAACTCACATCGTAGTATACGTAACAAGATGATTGTTTTCTGATCATGTGATATTAAGATCTCTCGCCATATTAACGTAGATACTTAAAGTTAAATATTTACAGGAATATACTGTATTAAAATATTAAAATGGATTTCATGATACAATAGTATAAGTTATTTATAAAATGTAATTTGACGAGCAGTCTTTAAAGGTTATAATGTAAAAAATAGAATTTAAAGAAATCAGAAATTTTTTTACAAATAAGGCAAAAGAAATTATTAAAATACATTGTAAATATCAATGTTGTAAAAGGACGGATTTTATTTATACTGCGGATTTTAATAACTTACACGACGATGTTAAAAAATTGAGTTTGCTATACAGTATTATTTTTAAGCCTTTATTATTTCGAATCATTGATAATATATATTTAGCTTTTTAAAAAAATAATCAATTAATAAAAGAATTTTTAAAGGAACTAATCATTATCATTGAGATAATCGTTATGAATCGAATAATTAAAATAAGGTAGCGTTAAATCTAATTCCAAATCATAAAGTACTACATATACTATATATATATGTAATAAACCCAAGTATTTTTCTTAAATCATTTCAGAAATATTTTGCACATTACATTTTATTAAAGTGAATAAATCGCCTCAAGTCTTTTTTCCTTTTACTGTGATACTTTTAACAAATATATTAAACTTAATTTAAACTCGCGTTCTTTGAAAGTTATACTATGCCAATAATAATGTCGTAATCAATTTTTAATGATCAACAAAGTTCTTTGCATATTTGAATCGTACAGACTTTTACTGTATTCAAGGTATAATGATTCAAATTCAAAACTTTTTATATGTATAATACTTGATTTAAGTGAAACCTACAAATCATTTACTTACTAGTGTAATGTTCGTTCTATCCAAATTTCTGCGTAGTTTCACCTTGACGAATTTATATTTGCAATGAAATTAATGTCTAACTTTATTAAAATTAGTAACTATTTCTAAACTATTTAACATTACATAGAAACTTTTTATAATACATCACCAGATTTAAAAAGAATGTTCGTCTTAAGCTTCTTTTTTAAATTTGATACTTGTAAGACCATAAAATTATATTCAGTAGATTCGAGAAATAATTAAATAGTCGAATTTAGAGATTCCAAATAGGTGATTTATTTGGAATTCCTTGATTATACAATAAATTAAACTTTATTAAGCTTTTTTTTTACATCTAAATTATTTATTTATCTGTTCCTTCTAATTGTAATATTTTTATTTTTTATTTATTTATTTCTTTTTTTGTACTAAAATAAAGTTCATTAAATATACTTAAACTTAACACGCAATGTATTTTTTTTTTTTATTTTTTAACCCTTTAAAAAGAAAAAATAGGGTTTCATGAATGTTTTATACGAGATAGAAAAATATTATTTTTATTATAAATTAAATGTTTTTTTTTAAAAAAAATTATAACTAATTAAATAATGAAGTAAATTATGTAATTTAATTTAATTTCAAAATCTTTTAGCTGTTGGACGTTACGTCGTTACGAAGCATTTCAATAATGTATAAGCATCATGTGATTAGTCATCTGATTGCTCCCAGAATTATGACAATCCTGATTATTCTGGCCAAAAATTTTGCGACAATTCATCTGACTACCGTAATTTTTTATATAACTATTAAATGTTAATCACTTTAAATATAAACGTTGCTTGTATGGACATGAAATGATTTAAAAATTTAATTCATAAAATATATTTGATTTATTTAACGAAAACGTATTTATACTACACACTGATATTTTATAATATATAATAAAAAAATAAAATAAAATAAAAAAATACTTAATAATCATAATTCATGATAAAAAAAAAAAATAAGATGTACAGTATAAGTGTCGTTTAATTTATACAACATTTGTACCTAAGCATCTATAATATTAAATTGTAACAATTTAAGTTAATAAAATTCAACATTTAAAATAAATTCTTAGGAAGTTCCAATTCATCTTGTTCTTCTGAATGAAGATTCGGATTGTTGTACGTATCATCTTCGTCTATCAAATATAAATTAAAATTAAAAAATCAAAAAAATAATTATTTTAATAATTTAAATAATTGTTTAATCATACCATTATCGCTAATATGAAGTTTCTTTATTCGCTTTCGCATTGACTCAATCTTATAATCATCTAGTAAATGATAGTAATAAATCATGTTTAATATCATAATAAAATTAATATATTTTAAATTATTTTACTTGCCATTTTTTGAGCTTCTTTTAAATATATTGGATAACTTTTTGCTGCTAACTAAATAATCTTAAATATAAGTTATTCGTTCATTTCAAAATAAAATATACTATTTAATTACCTTTAAATAAGCTACTTATTTTTGAAGTACTATTTTTCTTACTACTTAATTTATCAAAATCATCAACTAAAAAAGCAAAATAAGTCAATAAATAACGCTTCATTATATAATATTTAACTAAATGTAATTGTACTTACCATTATTAGGAATATGAAAATTATATGATTTGTTACTATAAAATGCTATAAAAAAATTAACCATGTTATCATTAATTTTTATAAATTAAAATTATATAAGAATTTGTTTAATTTATACCTTCTTGTTCTTCTATTATAATATTTAAATTAAAAAAAAAATAAACATTATTAATTAATTATATTAATAAACTATTTAAGCAATTAACAAAAAGCAATAAATACCTTCTGTTGCATTTCTTGGTTCAGGAAGATTATCAAATTGATGAAGTTTACTTGTAAATAGCTTGCCACTGCTGGTATAATTTTCCATTTCAAAATTATTATTTTCTTCTGGTTGAGTTAATGATTCATTTGATTTACTTTGATAAAATAAATTAATTTCACTCATTTTTTTACTAAGTATAAAACTATCAGGTCTTTTTAATGGATCAGCATCCCAACATTGTTTCATTAAATTTTTATATTCTAAAGGAGTTCCTAGTATAATCCTAGGTCTTATTCCATTAACAATATTCATAGCAAGATCATAATCATGTTCACAATCAATAAATGGTGGTTGTCCAGATGAAATTTCCCACATAAGCATTGCAATACTATAAATATCAGATTTAAAAGTCTTTTCTTTTCCAATAATAACCTCAGGTGCTATATAAGGAAGATTTCCATATATACTTTTTAATGGTTTATCTGCAGGTCCACAAAATCCAAGATCACTAATACGGAATACTTCACCAAAATTATACAGTATGTTTCCAGAATGCAAATCTCTATGAATTGCATTTTCATCATGAATTCTTCGAAGTGCAAGAGTTATATTAGTAATAATTTGAATTCTTTCTTTCCATGTAAGTTGATTATGATTTTGTTGTAAATATTTTCTTAAATCTATATCATATTTATTCATCACAAGCATATAATTTCCATTTGATGGATCTTGTGTTAATCCATAACATTGGACAATACCATTCCATTTATTGCTTATATTTAAATGTGATTTAGCCTATAAAATAAACCATTATAAAATTTTTAGCAAAAAATTAATTTGTCAACTATTTTAATATTTAGATTACAAACCTCTTCAAGCCAATTTTGATTTGCATTTTCAACATTTTCTAATTCTTTAAGTATTACATAACAATTTTCAAGTCTTTTTAATTGTTGCCCTTCAGAATCCCATTCATCATATGATCCATTGATCCAGACTGCTGTATAAATTTCTGAAAATCCACCTTTTGTCAGATATTTAATATTTTGTAGATTATTATATGGAATCCATTCTGGTATTAGGCTTGGTTTAATTGTCTTCATTTGACATTCTTGTATTAAATTATCAATAATAACATTTTCAGATGTCCAATTTGAAAATTTTGCTTTTAAATAATTTCGAACACAATATTCACAATATGTCGTAGCTAAACATTCTTGGTTACAATTTTCACAAATTCTTCTTGTTCCTTGATTAAAAGTAACTTTGTTAAGATCATAAGTTTTAGTAATTATTTTTATTGCTTCAGATTTTTCATTTTCCGTAAGTGATTCATCATCAAGAAGTATTTGTTTTCTAAGTTCATAAAATGTATCACAATTAAGAGTGTTATCTAATAATGCATATGATCTATTAAGTGCATTATTAACTTTTGGATTATAAGACATTATGAAATATGTTATAAAGCTTTAAAATCTTTTATAAATATATTTATTGATTTTTTAAGTAAAAAAAAAGAAAGGATGCAACCGGAATTTAATTCCCGAATTTATACATATAAGAATAGTAATGTGTAACCAAAATGAATGTTACAAAAAGCAACATTGTACTACCTAAATTTATGATATGCACGCAAATCAACGTAAGAAAGAAAAAAAAAGTTGTCGTTATACAAATTACTGATTTGATAGTTTAAAATCTTTTTTTAAAAAATAAAAAAATTTCTTAAATGAAAATCATCAAGAATGCTACACTTCTTAACTACATAGACGCAAAAGATAATAATAAAGCACTGCATACATCACATTATTCACATACTAATATAAATTCCCAATAAGTATTATCATCCTTCCAGAAAGTACCGCAGTTACAAATAAAAATCTTCCCACTTGACAATAGAGTTTTTTGGAATATATTATTATTCCGTTCTTATCATTCTTAATCTAAGGATCTGCAAGATGGAGTCGTTCCACTATCTATTCAATCAATCATCATTACTTGTATCACCTTTACTTCGCCACCGCAGCCATCTTCAAAGGTTGAAAATTTCTCTTCATCAAAAACTTTAAGGTCATATGACCGTCTTCTTTACTCCATAAAAGTTGAATAGAGCACTATCATACTGACATTTAACACTCGGCTCTTATTGAACTTTTTTTTAAAAAAATAGAGCTTGTCGTTTTTTCAAAATATTTCAACTTTTCGTGTAAAGCATCTTTGGTCGATATTTCTTTATTTTCCAAAAAAAAATTCAAAAAATATACATAACCTAGGAATGAAAAGAATGTCAAAAGTTGGTTTTAATGAGACTCAAAATCAATAAAATTTGTAACTATTCGGTAACTTATTTGTCATGTTTTAACCATAAATTTTTTGATCGAGTTCTCGATCGAAAGGAAGATTTTTTTTTCTAGTTTATTATACTTGTGATATATTAAGTGTGACAGGAAATACGTACACTTTAATTGGATTTTTTATATGTACAATTAACCAATTTAACTACGCATAACAGTCATGTGATCGAAGTATCATATGACAATCGTGACGTTACGATGAAAATGTTAAAATAAAAGCGTTTTACAGGCATAATTATTGAATATGATTTATTTTGTTAAGAAATGATTTTTGGATGAAAACAGCTTATATTTTATTTATTTTTTTTTTCTTTATTTAAAAAATCATTAAAAATTATGAATATATAAATTTTTTTTTTTAATTTGTTAATATCTACAGTAAATTACAATTAATTTTATGAACACGATATACTAAATTTTTATGATGATACATGATCTAAATCATACAAATAATGATGACAGAAAAAATTACCAACATACGGATTCATATTTAATTGAAAAAAAAATAATATAATATAAAAATACATTATTTTAAACATTTGTCAAAGATTAGTTATTTTTTTTTCTTTAAATTTTAGAAAAGATTTTTATATAGTATTTTACTAATTAATTATTAATCATTCATTATTATATATATAATATTGTTTAACAGGACTTATTAACAGGACCAGTGCACAAAAATTTTTGGAAATTTTCCGAAAAGATCTAAATTGATTTTTTTGCATCGGAACATGTGACCGAAATGAATAAATTTTACCGGCGCCAATGTTTTGCTTTACGGTATAAAATAAATGAATTCGGTAGACGAGGAATTTTTTTTAGTTTTTTTACTCGTTTCTTGGACTTATTGGTACATTTGGTACATTTACTACATGACTTAAGATTAAATTCCTAAAGTTATCCTTATTATTAAAAGAAAATATAAAACTATCCTTTATTTTCCCATTTTCACCTCGATCTATGATCGAATCCCTCCAAATCAAAGGATTATATCCTCCAAGAATTTCTTCTATTATTTAATATTGTTTTATAAATTTTTATTTTAAATATTAAGCTATAATGTAAATTTATCTATGAATGAAAAATATGTTTGCTATCAGTATAATGTCATAAAATCTTTACATTTGTCATTTTTTTTTTTTTTTTGATTTTGGATACCGAATTATTAAGATTTTTTTTATTTATTTTTTTCTTAATATGATTGAAAAAATTCAATTTACAAAAATTATTAAATATTGCATATTATTTTAAAATACTTAAACTAAAAATGTTAATTTCTTAATTTAATTTCAACTAATAATTCATTGCAAGCGGTTATAACACCAGATTCAGTTCTTAAAGGAGATTTCTTATCTATTAAATCAATATCATATTTTCTAAATAATAAAGCCGTTAAACAAACTAATTCAAGTATTGCTAACTTTCTTCCTGGACAAACTCTTAGTCCTCCACCAAACGAAATAAAAGAATTCTTCCTTGGTTCAAAACCTTCAACCATCCATCTATCAGGATTAAATTTCTCAGGTTCATCCCAATATTCTTCATTATGATGAATAGCATCAACACTAATTTTAATCATTGTTTCAGCTGGCCATTGATAACCTCCTATTTCATCAGGTTTTTCAAGACATCTTGAAAATACATGTACGACTGAGAATATGCGAGATACTTCTTTTACAATTGCTTCACAATATTTTAAATTATGAACATCATTTTCAGTAATTGGACGCGTTTTGTCATCTTGAAAGATTCTATCAATTTCGGTCAACATTTTTCTTTTAACATCTGGATGATGAGCAAGATAATAGACAATGAACGAAATAGTATTCGCAGTCTATTGAAGGAAAGAATGAAGGAAAGAATAAAACGTTAAAAAAAATATTCAAACCCAAAAATTTTGTCAAATAATTAAAAAATATACTCACAGTATCAGTTCCAGCAATTATTCCATCGAAAATAATAACACGAATTTCATGATCATTCATAGGTCTCATAACTTCTTTATCATCAATTTTATTATAATTAATATCACGTGGTGTATTCGCAGTGATTATCGATGTCAAAAGGTCACTTGGTAAAGGTTGATCCAATGGAGTATTTTCAATTTCTTCTCTACGTCTTTTGATAATTGCATCCATTCTTTGATTTATAAATTTGATGTTTCGAATAAAATCATCCGACTTATTCTTAAAATATGGAAAATAATGTCTTAAAAAGGGAGATACGAATTGAAACATTATTAAACCCATAAAATGTTTACGAATCGCACGAACAAATTTTACAGTCTCATCAACTAATGCAGATGGACGTTCAGCTTTTTCATCATCACTAACTTCATTAAAATATCCAGCCATAGTATAAGATCTTTCACCAGTTAATAATGCGATAATCATATCATTTGTAAACTGATTAAACCATGTAGAAATATCCATGTTCTTTTTATTTTCCTTTAATATAACTCCTCCTTCTTTAAGATATAATTTATCCCAATAACCTTCCAATTCATTAAAAAGTTTATTTATCAAATGAAGAGCTTCATTAGCAAATTTTGGTGATAAAATAGCTTGTGAAAAAAAATGACGATTATATCTCCATGGTTTAAGATCTTGATTTAATAATATTCCCTTTCCCATCAATCCTAATTCATGAAATCCTTTACTATCCTTATAAGAAAATTTTTTAATATATGGATTTTTTGATGAAGCTAATAAAAGTTTTTCAATATATTCTATTCGATTTAGAGCTATATTTCGTGTATCAAAATTAAACTCGAATAAATCACCATATTTCTTATGACTAGTTTCGAAAAATTTTTTAAGATTTCCATTATGCCAAATATATAATTGAGGTAAATTTCCAAAAAATGGGAATGGAAAAGGACCGGGTAAAGGATTGATACGAGTAAAATATTTATAATAATATTGTGTCACATAAATTATCAATGTGATACTTATTAATGAAAGGAAATCAAAATTTTCGAATAATTTCGAAATCATATTATTTATAAATTAAATGAATTTTCTTGATTGATAATAAATAAAAGAAAATATTTATTAATTTTCTTGGCATAGCCAAGACTTGTGAAAGGGATATATTTATATTATATTTTTTTAACCAAAAAAAAATTTTTTTTTCCGTTCCGGGTAAACTTGTTCATAGAGTTTAACCTAATTAAGTTTCAGACGATCCCGATTTGCCAGATCGCTAAACCGGCTATACTAATTTTCGCCCCTAGTTTCCATTGATTCTGGCTGGTGAACCGGGTCCGATTGATCAACATCTGAAATTTTTTGATTTGTAATCATTTGTAATCAACCAGACTCATGACTTCTACCGTCATTACATGGAATCCGAGCTGATTCCACATCGGATCCAGGGGCGAAAATTATTATAGCTCGCTAAACCTACAATAGACTAGTATGGAACTCGAAAGAGGACAAAAATTCATCGTACTATTATTCGTATCACGGTATAGTGAATTAATATAATGCCCCCACAAATGATGGTCATATGTCGGTGCACTGCATCGGGAAAACATTATAAGCAAAAAATACATTATATGTAGCGTATGTAGCAATAATCTAGTATTAAAAACAGTAGTTTTATCTTTGACGTTTGGTATATATACATTGATAAAGAAACTTTATCTTATGTATTAAAAGATGAATTTAATAATAATAGTAGTAGTAATAGAGAATGCAGAACAAAAAGATCGTCGACTAGATATATTAGATAAAAAGAATAATAAAAATAACGTAAAACTTGATGTTTTCATATGTATGCCAGTTGATCTGATGATCATTTGCGGATCACAATTTTTCTCACGTACGAAAATAAAACATTTTAAATTTTTTTTTGTGTCTCTTTATACATTACTGTATATACTGAACTTGAAGTCTTAATAACTATAAAATGACACTGTAAATACCAATAAAAAAGTGACTTTTGTCGTATTAAAGACAATAATTAATATTTTAAAGGTTATATATCATATATTTATCTATAAAAAATTTTTTTAAGCTTAATACACTAATAATTATATTTTGTATTATTTAACTGTAGACGATAAAAACAAGCCAAGAGTATTATTAGTAGTTTTATATGTTTTTGTATATGGATTATTTATTTG